TATATATATATATATATATATATATATCATGTGAACATTATTGCAAAATTAATTCTAAAGAACAAACAAATACAAAAATATATTTTTATGTACAAAATATTGATGTTATTTATGAAGTTATAAACAATTTAAATTTGCATTATTGATTATCATATTGGTTCCTTTATCTAAATTCATAGAAAAAATAGATATTAAATATGATATTTATATTATTATTGTAACTTCGATCACTTAAGAATTTTATTTTAGACGAATTTCGGATTCCGAAGGATTTATGGGATATTCTAATGTTCTATAGATAAATATTAAAAGTATATAATAAAATGTCATTATGAATAGCGATTTCAAATATCAAAGTTACCAATTGTCGATAATGTGCACGTGTGATACTATTATAGAAGGAAAATTATTTTTTTTTTATTTACTAGACAATGAAAGAAATCAATATGATTCCTTTTAATATAATTCGAAAAATAAAGCATTTTTAAATACATATAATTTTTATTTCATATATTTCTAACAATAAAATTGTTTTTTTTTTGGAATCTATTTATCAAATTTTATCATTTTATAAGAAAAATCTTCGAAGTTTTATCTCTCCATAAATAAAATTTAAATAAATAAAAAAGTAAAATTCAATTGACTATATTTATATATATGCAATAAATAATTTATGCATAATATTTCAAAAATTTCTTTTATTATAATTGGAACCAGTATTAACCTTTATACAAAGCTTTTTATCGAATTTTCATTTATAAAATTAAATATTTTCATTTATTCTTCTTAAATTTCTACTTCAATATTTCAATCACTACAATTTGAAAAATTTCAGCTTTTTTTTAAGATTCGATTATAATTATTGTACGAGTCTATATTGTATTATAAGTTGATATTCGATTTGATAAAGGAGTATAGGTAATAAAGTATATTTCAAATATACTTTCAAACAAATATTATCAGCGGTAGTTAATAGATGTGATAAATCCAATTATATAAGAATGTGAATGACTATATGATTGTGTAAGTTGACTTATCTCTAAATAAGACTAAATCTTATTTTTTGCCATCTTATTAACAATGCACAATATAATTATTAATCATATATAATTATATGTAATTGAGAAATCATTAATTTTTAAGTAAAATCTTCAGCTAGTGATTTACAAGTGTACTAATAATTCTATTGTTTCACCACAACAAAAAGAAATAGGAATAAAAAGAAATATGGTTGTCAAAAAAAGCAGATTTTTAAGAATTAAAGATCCCATTGGTTCCACAAATGTGATGAATAGATAAGAAGGTAATATGGCTTAACGAACTTAATTATTTATATCAAGTATAGTCAAAACCTCAATTTGATGCATTAACTAGAAGTTAATAACAAACTACTCAGGGTCAAATACCTGATACTTGTTTACCAGTATTCCAATTGGTAAACAAACTATTTTAAAATAAATTTTAAAATAAATTTGTTTTTTCAAATAATTTAATTAGTTAATAGTCTGTTTTCAGGTGTTATAAAATCTGTTGATCCAGAAAAACAAAAACTTATCCAACAATTAATTCTTTTATTTCATGCACATACCACACAACATGAAAATCAAATAAATAGTGATATCTGGCAATATTTGTTAATAGATTGTAAAATTATGAAAAATATATTAATTCACTATAAGAACTTCTTTAAATGGGAAAAAATTGTACAGTATCATATTTCAAGATAAAGTATTATTTAGAAACATTGCAATAATTGTATATTTTTATTTTTGAAGCAAGAAATAAAAACAAAATATATTACTGCAACATCTATAACTCAATCAAATAATTAAGCAAATCAAAGCTAAATGGAAAGAGCATATGATGCATTTCATGTCCAGGAAATTCCATGTTCTACTACTACTAAATATCTGATTTAGTAATCAGTCAATATGTTTCAAGAGAAATTATTAATCATTGGAATCAATGAATGTAACAATTGTTCTGTATGTTTTTCTTTAAAAAATAAATATTAAATACAATATAAAACACAATGTACACAAATTAAATATTAAATATTAATAATAATAGATATTAAAAATATGTACATATCATTGTCAATAAAAAATCTTCAACAATTATAAGATTCACTTTTTTTATTATCTATATTATTATTTTACTATTATCAAGAATCATATATTGTTAAATTTACTAATTTTATGTATTTTAATAATTTATTTAATATAATATCAAATTAAAATACATTTATTTATAAATACATTAATTTATTCAATATAATATCAAATTAAAATACATTTTTATACGTACTTAATGTAAAATATAAAAAATATATATAATGTTATATATATATATATATATATATATATATA